TCTCGGGCGCCGGCTCTGGAGGAACAGGGGGCGGTGCCCGTGCGCCTTCCGCCCCCTCAGCGGCGCCGGCCGCTTCGTCTAAAGCACCTCCCTCCACCTCTTCCTGCTCTTTCTCCTCCTCCGGGCTGTCGGTGAAAGGGTTCTCGCCCTGCAAGGAATGGGGAGGTGGTAGTGTTGGACCGGAGGATTCGAGGCGACCGGGCAGGACCGGGGCGGGGTCTGTTCCTTCCCTCACCTTAAGATAGCGCTCCAGCTTCTTGCTGATGAGCTTGTTGTTGAGGATACTGCGGGCCACCATGAGCGAGGACTTCTTGGACTGCTCCATCATGAGCTGCGGGCAGGGCAGGCAGGGCTGCAGAAGCTGCTCCAGAAGCTGGGCCAGCCCAGCCCAGCCCAGCCCACCCCCACCAGCTCGCCCTCAGCTCTGCCGTCACATCCAGCCAGACTGAAACAGGCAGTAAGGCCACTCCATAAGCATGGAAATACGACCTGGTCTGATCTTTGCCCAAATGCTCCATCCTTTCATACTTACTGTGCGACTAAAAGAGATACATGAAAACTATTAAACCAGGCTTGGAGGCACATGCCTGTAATCCCAGCACTCGAGGCTGAGGCAGGAGGCTTGAAAGCAAGTAGGAGACCAGCCTGAGCAATTTAGGGAGATAATGTCTCAAAAAAGGGCTAAGTATGTGGCTCAGTATGAAGATCCTGGATTCAATCCCGGTTCCACAAAAAGAAAAGGAATCAACTGCCCTAACATTAAAAGCATCATGCCACAGAGCACCCATGTGTATAGCAGCAGTCTGTAATAGCTAAATCTTGGAAACAGCCCAAATGCCCATCAACTGCTGAGTGGATAAAGATGTATGTTTTTTATACAACAGAGTACTACTCTGCCATAATGAAGGATGAGCTTCAGACATGTACAGCTAAATGGATAGACCTTGACACCATACTCTTAAGTGAAATAAATCAGACACACGTTGAAATATATTCTCTTGTGTGAGAAACTGAAAGTGGAAATAAGGACTGAAATATGTAATAGATGTTGGGAAATGGGAAGAAAGTATTCAAAAGGGAACAAGGGAGGAGAGAGAGAGAAAGGAAGGAAAGGACAAGGAAAAAGTGAAAATAGAAGGAAAAAATGGAAACAAAGCTTCTGTACATAGGGGAGAAGGTTTGGGGGAGTGGGATAAAATTTTTTAAAAAAGAAAAAAAATGTACAAGAAGGGGTTGGGGATATGTAGCTCAGCAGTGTAGTACACCCTTAGCATGCACAGAAATTGGGTTCAATTCCCAGCACCAGAATAAAATTTATACACATAGATATTGCTTTATATGTGTGTGTGTGTGTGTGTGTGTGTGTGTGCGCGCGCGTGCGCGCGTGCACACAAAGCAAAAAATGTAAAACTTCAATTTCTTTCACTCTCCCTTGTTGACAAGATTTTGATTTGCACGGTATACATCAATTTGGGGAGAATGGGATTTTGTTTTGTTTTGCTATTAAAAATTACTTTTACCTGGGGTTGGGGATTTAGCTCAGTGGTTCAGCCACCTGCCTTGCAAGTACAAGGACCTGAGTTCGATCCGTGGTACCAAAGGGGGAAAAAAAAAAAATTACTTTTACCTAAGAACACAATATGTTCCTTCATTCATTGGGATCTTATTTCATATTCATGGAGTATTTGTAGTCCTTGTCTTTCACTGATTCATAGCAGTACTAGAGATTTAACCCAGTGATCCCTTAGAATTACCCTCAGTCTATTTTTTTTTTGAAGATGGGGTCCTTTTAAGTTGCCCAGGCTGGGCTCCAACGTTCAATCCCCCTGCCTCAGCATCCCCAGTAGCTGGGAATATAGCTGGGCACTTCTTTCCCTACCTTGTAGTTCTTCCCATAGCTTTCTTCTTTTTCTTCTTTTTTTGGTACTGGGGATCAAACTTGGGACCTTGTGCTTGCGAGGCAGGTAGCAGAAATCACTGAGTTAAATCCCCAGTCCCCATAGCTTTCTTCTTAATCTGTATTCCTAGATACTTCATACATATGATTAATATGATAATTTTCCGCTCATTTATGTTGCTAGCTGGTTATTACTAGTGTGGAGATAAATACAACCTTTTGTATATTATCTTTAATTCTATCCCCTTACCACATTGTATTAATTCAAAAAATACTTTGCTGGAATCACTTGGCTTCTTTCAGAATTTAATCTTATTTGTTCAGTTTTCCATTTTATAACAAAGATATTATTAGATTTTTTGTTTCATTAAACCATCCTTGAATTCCAGGGACAAACCTAATGTACTACACAAATCTGCATTAGCATTACTGCTAGATTGATAATTTCTGCCTTACTATTTCTTTTTTTTTTTTTTTTTTTTTTTTTTTTTTTCTTTGCAATACTGGGGATTGAACTCAGGACTTTGTACTTGCAAGGCAGGTGGTGACACCACTGAGCTAAATCTCTGGCCCACTGCCTTACTGTTTCTATATAGTTAATAATAAACGAATCTAGCCAGGTATGGTGGCGCCCGCCTGTAATCTCAGCACTCAGGAGGCTGAGGCAGGAGGATCACTGTGAGTTTGAGACCAGCCTGGGCTACATAGTGAGTTCCAGGTCAGTCTCAACTACCTAGTGAGACACCCTGTCTCAAAAAACCCCAAAAAATTTAAATAAAGAAATAATAAACAAATCTATATTTTAATCTTGGTATTATCTTTATCTTGTTTTTGGAATCGCGGTTAAAAAGGCTTCCTAAGAATTAACTGGAGAAGACAAATTCCTGGCATGGCAGTCTGAAGAGCTCTGTAGACCCAACTCTCTAGTGAAACTGATAAAAACTATTAAAAACTACAACCCCCCAAAACCCCAGAACAGCAAAAAGAAACAAGCTGTATTATATACACGTACCAGCTTTCCAAGATGTCTGTAAATGGCATGTACTACAGACATGTACTACTAAAAAAACTTTTAATCCTCAACAACAAAGGAGGGCAGGGGATTTAGCAGTTCTGCCACCTGCCTTGCAAACACAAGGACCCAAGTTCAATCTCTGGTACAAAAAAAAAAAGTGACAGTGTGTTGGAAACAGGACCAGCTGCTTCCCTGCCATCCCAGCTCAGTGTGATCCAAACTCCACTCCAGTGCAGCCAGACGGCAGTACCCCATCTCTACCAGCACCATCCTAGTGGGGTGGTAGTCCCTCCCTTTCAAGAAGCAGAGGATGTCAACATTCTCATCCTGCCCCCTGCTACCTGTTGCTGAGGTTCAGTCTGGCAAGCCAGAAGGGGAAGATCCCTCCTTTCTTCTTAGCCCCCATGCACAGAGTGGAGGCTTTACCTAGGGCAAAGCTTGCTGAGAACACTGGGGCCCAGAACACTAGCTCCTTCATAAGGTAGAGGTCCCATGCCAAGAAAAGACACCTCAGGACCAGGAGGGTGTGGGCGGCTCATCCCCCATCTTCTTCCCAATGTTGCAAATCACTGTGAGAAACATTCCTTTGTCCTCATCTCTAGAGCCATGGCTGAGAGATTCTGCACAGAGGAAAGTTTAGCCTTAAAACAGTGAACTGCGGGGCCGGGGTTTTGGCTCAGTGTCTGCCACCTGCCTGGCAAGTGCAAAGACTCAAGTTCGATCCCTGGTACCAAAAAAAACAGTGAACTCTGTCTCTTCCCAAAGGAACCAACAAGGATGCTTTCAAAACAGCTAGGCACAGTGGCATACACCTGTAATCTCAGCACTTGGGAGGCGGAGGCAGAAGGATAGCCAACCTGAGCATTTAGCAAGATCCTATCAAAATAAAAAGGACTGGAGATGTAGCTCATTGAGAAGACCCTGGGTTCCATCGCCCGTACCATAAAGCAAAACAACAATGGAGAGAGTACAGAGTAGAAGAACTGAAAGGAGAGTGAAGATCTGGTGGTGATATAAGCTAAACCACAGTTCAACTTAATAGCTAAAAAGATCCTTTCTTGGGCTGGGATTTAGCTCAGTGGTTCCAACAACTGCCTCACAAGTGCAAGGCACCAAGTTTGATCCTGGTACTCCGCCCACCAAAGAAGATCCTTTCTGGGTTCAGAATAAATGTCAAATAATCTCAACAACTATTTCTGCAAAGGAGCCTGAATTTATTGGATTACATTAGGGAGCAATTTATGCCCTAAGGCATTATTGAAAATTGAGCCATCAGCCAGAAAAAGACAGTCAGAGAGAACCCTGCTAAACACACCCCTGCTCCCAGCCACCTCAGCTCAACCGCCCAGCCCCTGGCTTCCTCCTCCCAGGCACAACACCAGAGCTTCACACAGTGGAGAAAGAAAGACCTCAGAGACCACACAGAAACAGACCTGGCTAAGAAACCTTGCAGAAGCAGCTGGCATTCTCTAAACAATGCAGAAGCAAACACAGTGACACTACGCTGTGTGTGGGAAAGTGGGACCAGTGCCCAGAGCTGTGACAACATGTTCTCTTAAGTTTCCAACAAAAAATCAGGAGACATGCAAAGGAGACTGAACCCTCCACAGAAAAAACAGCATAGAACACAGCAAAGACTTCAGCTGGACAGACAGCTCAGTGGTAAAGCGAACTGAGGACTATGTGTCAGATTCCCAGCACTGGGCGGGGAAGATGTAACAAAGACTTCAAAGTAGCAATTAAAAATATGCTTAAAGAATTAAGTGTTTGAAGTAGTAAAAGGTATGATGACACCTATTCTTTAAATAGACATTATCAGGTCTGGCAAGCACTAGATCCTGAATTTGATCTGGTACCCAAAAAAAAAAAACCTTTTTTTTTAAATAGTACTGGGGATTGAATTCGGGCCTTTGTGCTTTACCAGGAAGGTGGCAGAACCACTGAGCCAAATTCCCAGCCCAAAAAAGACATTATCAACAAAGAGAAATAATAAAAATAAAAAGGAAATCTTGGAGCTGACAGATACAATAACTGAAACAAAAACCACAAGAAAGGCTTAACAGCAGATCTGAACTGAAGAATTTGTGAACCTGCAGCTAAATAGGTCATTACACAATGTGAAGAGCACAGAGAAAAGAGTGAAGAAAAATGAATGGTCTTAGAACAGTGGAATAACATTAAGTAACTCAACACATGTATAATGGGAGCAGAAAAGACAGAAAGAGGAAAAAAGTACCTAAAGAAAAAATGGCTGGCCTGACATGGTAAGACATGCCTGTCATACCAGCAATCTGGGAGGCTAAGGCAAGAGGATTACAAGTTCCACCCCAGCCTGGCAACTTAGTGATATAGTGAGATCCTGTCTCAAAAAAATATAGACCCAGTACCCCAAGTAAAACAAACAAAAAAAAAAAAAAAAAAAAAAAAAAAAAAGAAAAAAAGAAAAGGCTACGTTTACAGCTCAGTGTGAGAAACATTAATTCAATTCCCAGTAGTGTTAAAAAAATGAAAATAATGGCGGAAAGTATCCCAAAACGAATGAAAAATTATACATCAAAGAAGCTCAATTCCATATAGAATAAACAGGAATTCCACAAAGATATATATCATAGTTAAAAATGCAAAAAGTTCAAGAGGGCCGGGGATTTAGCTCAGCGGTTCGGTGGCCTGCCTTGCAAGCGCAAGGACCTGATTTCAAAAAGCAGCAAGGAAAAAAACAAATCACTTACAAGAGAAACCTAGTAAGGTTAAAAGTGGATTTCTTATCAGAAACCAAAAACTAATGGCTGGGGAAGTAGCTCAGAGGTAGAGCACCTCCCAATAGCACACACAATCCCGGAGTTCAATCCCCAACACCCAAAAATAAATAAATGAGGAGGGGAAGGGTGGGGAAGTGTGCATATCTATAATCCCATCCTCTTGGAAAGCTGAGACAGGAGGATTCCAAGTTCTAGGCAACATGGGTAACTTAGTGGGACTCTATCTCAAATAAATAAAAAGGGCTAGGGATGTAGCTGAGCACTCCCTAGGTTCAATCTTCAGTAATGCATACATGCACACCACACACACACACACACACACACAAACACACAGGTAGAACCTAAAGAAACCACCAAAGGAAATAATACCAGAAAATGTAATGAAAAAAATTATCAAAGAAATTAAAGTGTTACTAAAAAGTACTCAATGTAAAAGAAAGCAGTAAAGGGAAAACAGAACACTGACACATCCAAAACTAATTAAATATGAATGGATTACACAATTCAGTCAAAAGGCATAGACAGCCAGGCTGCTAAGAATCAAAACCAAACTCTATGTTGAGTAGTCTCTTTCAAATAGTACTGGATATCAACTTGATAGAAAAATTAGACCCATACCTAATACCATATTAAAAACAAAAAACTAAAAACCAGACCTAAATAGATCAAGACCTAATTATAAAATTTAAAACCATAAACTCTTAAGAAAAAACAGGGATTTGTTTATGAATTCTTTCACAGCCAAAGCCCAAGCCATAAGAGAAAAACAAACAAACAAACAAACTGGAAATGGTGGTGCATCCCTGTGATCTTAGCAATCTGGGAAGCTGAGGCAAGAGGACTCCAAGTTCAAGCCCAGCTTCAGCAATTTAGAGAACCTGTGTCAAAATGAAAAATGCCTGGAAATGTAACTCAACGGAAAGGCCCTAGCTTCAAGCCCCAGTGCAAAATAAATCCATCCATCCATCCACCCATGTGAAAAACCAAACCAAAAAAAAACCCTGAATCACTTTATGAAAATTAAACTTTTCTATACCAAAGGATACATCAAGAAAGTGAAGAAAAATCCAAAGTAGACAATACAGTTGTGTATCATTCAAAGAAAGACTCATGTCTAGAATTTAGGAAAAACTCTGGGCCAGGTATTAGCTCAGTAGTGGAGCATCTTCCCTATGATGAGCAAGGTCCTTGGTCCTTGGTCCTATCCCCAGCACTGTTGCCAAAACTTTTTTCTCTAGTGATATACAAATAGCCAACAGGCCTATGAAAATAGTCACTAGTCATTGAGGCAACACTAATGAAAATATACCACTTCCCACCCACCATGATGGCTAGATAAAGAAAATGTCAGGTAGTACTAAGTGTTGGTGAGGAGTAGAGAAATCAGAACACACACACACGATGCTGATGAGAATGTAAAATAGTGCAGCCACTTTGGGAAACAGTCTGGTAGCTCCTCAAGGAAATCAGTTACTATTTAATCCTAACAGTTCATTCCTAGGTACATAACCAAGAGAAATCAAAGAACTTGCACACCCATGTTCTTAAGAGGATTACTCACAATAGTCAAAATAACCCAAACACCTAATCAGATGAATGGGTAAACAAAAGGCGACATTTACCTAAAATGGAATATTATTAGGTCATACAAAGGAATGAAGTCTGACACATACTGCAATGCAGATGGACCTGGAAAACAGCATGTTCACTGAAAGATATCATTCACAGAAGACCATGGATTACGTGATTCCACCTACATGAAATGTCTAGAATAAACAAATAAACAGTAGACTGGTAACGACCTAAAGCTGGGTGAGGATGGGAGATTGGGGGGTAAGGCCTTCTTTTTGAGGCGTTGAAAACATTCCATGATTGACAGTGGATGATGGCTGCAAAAATTCCATGGACAAACTAATAACTATTAAACTGTACATCTTACACGGGTGTGACTAATTCTGATATGTCAACTTCACTGGGTTAGGAAATGCCTAGCAAATTAGTACAGTACACTTCTAGATGTGTCTGGCTAGGTCATTAGGTGTAGCATTGGTACTATATGAGGTCCCTGGCCCATCCTCTCTGGCAAGGTTTCTGGCCTGCTTCCCAAAGGGTGTGCTCTGCTACACCCTTCCACCATGAGGTGTTGGCCTAGGAGCCTATTGACCATGTATGAAATAAGCTGAATGAAACCTCTGCTCCTCTAAGTTGTGGGTATTGGGTACTATGTCCAGCTAAGGGAAAGAGGTAATAATGAATTACCTGTTAGGAACTGCAAGCTTTCCATTCATTTCTATAGTCCAGAATCTTTAAAATGTAGTATTTAAATTGCATTAAAACTCTCTAGGGCTGGGGATTTATCTCAGTGGTTCCGCTGCCTGCCTCACAAGTGCAAGGTCCTGTTTGATCCCTGGTACCAAAAAACAAAAAAACAAAACAAACAAACAAAACCTATCTCTAAACAAATTATTTCTCGTGTCTTTAAAGTATCTTTCATCATCTTCCAAACCCAGCTATGGTAGAAGTTGTTACAGCTTTGTTTTCTCTCTCCTGCTCTTTCTTTACTTCTTTCATGATCCATTTTCAGTTCGCATTTTACTAGCTATTACTCCTTTCACCTGGACATTACACAAATTCTATTGATGTTATTATTTTCCACTCTCCACAATCATTCTCTCCTTATCTCTATCAGCTGCCAAGCCAAGAATCTGTTCTTGGCAGGATCCCTATAGCTTCGTTCCCTATAGGAAATCCAGTGGATGCTCTCCTAACCTTTCCAGACCATTCAGTGGCATCTGCCAGTCCTGCCTCTGCCCATTTAAGCCACACACACACACACACACACACACACACACACACACACACACACACACTCTGATATCACTGCACTGAGAAAGCTCAGCTGTGATGGCATGAGAGAAGCTTGAGAGACGCTATTCATCCCGCTTGGATGCATATCATCCCACAGGCCTTTTCCTCTCTTTAGTCCAGACCGGGTCCCAGCCCTCTACCTTGCCCATGTCTAAGAGCTGCTTCCAACCCAACATGGCACTTGTTTAACCAAAACACAGCCACTCTGGCCTCAGTGCTGGATACCAAGAACATGATAGAAAACAATACAGAACACACTCATTTTCTTGCATGCCTCTTTCCCTGCACCCCAGACTACTCCTGCCCATGATATTAGCATCTCCACTCTCCACTTGGTTCCGAGTCTGAAAAGTTACCCCAGTTCCTGGTCACTCACCACCTACTCCCTTACTTACACAGTTGCCCCCTCTCCGTTCTCAAGTTCAAGGCACTACTTATCCTGAGACTGCAGCAGTCATCAGCGGCCCCCACCTCTTTCCACAGCAGGTGGCAAAGGCTCTAGGTCAATGGCAACTCTAATCCTGCTCAACTGATAACTTTGCTGCTTATTTATAGGAATAAGCCTGGAGCCCTCAGTACAGCCCTCACCAATCAACATCTACAGCCCAACCACTCTTCCACCAACACCTGCATTGCCTGCCTCTGATTTTTCTTTTCTTTTTTTTTGGAGACAGGATCTCACAATGTAGTTCAGGGGCTGGTAGCGATCCTCCTATCTCAGCCTCCCAGTACTGGGATTACAGGCATGCACCACCACACCTGGCCCTATTTTTGGTTTTTTGAGACAGGGTCTCACTCTGTAATTCAGGCTGGCCTTAAACTCACTAGATAGCCAAGGTGATCTTCCTGCCTCAGTCTCCTGAGTTCTGGGATTACAGGTGTGCGCCATCATGCCCAGCTTTAGTCTACTTCTGTTTTCTGAAACTCATCTGGCCATTGGCCCCTACACACATGGACGTCCCCCTATCCTGTGGCACATGTTGCTGGAGGTCCAGCTCAATGTCACTTTCTCCCAGACAAAGTCCCCATCTCCCAGGGCTCTCTCTGTGGCTATCCTGACTGCGCTGGGCTGGGAAGACTCATAACACTGCCCCTCCTGCTCCTGCAGTTTCTCCTGGGCAGGCAGAGGTGACAACTCCCCCTGTGTCCTTGTAGCCACTCACCCTGCGATTCCGGTTGTGATCCATAGTCTTGAGGTGCTTCTGGATAATCCCAAACTGCATAGGAATGAAGAGGTCACAGGCTGCACAGTGGGCCGCCTCCACCTTCTTCACAAAATGCTCCATGGCAATTTCTGTAGATGGGGGAAGAAGAAGTCACTATGGTCCCAGGGGCCTACAACATACCCAGAGGTTTAGGAAAAAAACCAGACCAGGGCCTGAATGTGCCCTGATGCTAGGAGAATGTGCCATGAGGAGTGGAGGGCAGGCTGAGGCCCTATCTCAGGGGAGCTGGGACGGAAGCCCTCACCTTGGGTCAGATCTTGGTCTCTGTAGATCTGCTGGATCAGACCATCAAGATCCTCCACGGTTTTCCGGAGTTCCTCTGTCTTCTTTGTCTTGTTGGTGACGTACTCCTGTCCAAGACATGGAGGCTCATATGGGTTGCACTGTGTCCCCGAGGACCTCAACCCAGAGCAACTGTGCCACTCTGAGGCTCACCTGCAGGAAGTCAGCAGTCTGCTTTGGGAGCTTGGTGCCTACATATTTAAAGTGTTCTTTGTGGAACTTGCTGTCAAGGTGACTGGCCATCTCATCCTCATAGAAGGTCCGGTATTTGCAGAGAGAACACACAAACTGGATCCTGCCACAGGAGGGAAATAAGCGGCTGAGGTTGTCAGGGTCCCAGAAAATGGTGCTGCCGCCTCACCCAACCCAGCTGTAGACCCTAAAACAGGCCTTGCTTCCAGGCCTCTGAAGTGTGGTCCCAGCAGAGGGCAGGCTGGGACCAGGAGGGCTGGGAGCAGAAGGGGGCAGAAAGTCTGCAGGCTGTAGTTGCTGCAACGAAGGGGACAGGGGAGGAGCTCTTCCTTCCCACAGACTGGAGGCTGAAGCCTGAGGCAGCAGCTGCTGCAACAGGCAAGGAGTCGCTGGAAGGTTGCCGATGGGGCTCTCTACCAAGGCTGGGCAGGAGCATGTGTACTTGGCCCAGCTGGGGACCGGAAGGAAGGATGCCCTGGCGTGAGCCAGGTGGCCCTGAGGCGCGGAGTGGAGTACGCAGTCCCGAGGCAGGGCCCAAAAAGGTGCTGCATCTTCCTTCTGGGGCCTGGGGGACTCAAAGCCCCAGCCCATCCTCTGCTCAGAATGCTTGGGGGTGGTGTCGGGAGGGATGGGAGGCAAGCAGGCCTGGGTACCTGCTGCCTCATCTTCCTCTTCCAAGAAGAGACCAGTCTGAGCTGGAAGGAGGGCGCCCGCCTGGCCTGCCAGAGGGCAGCCTGGAGTCACCGGGCGAGGTGCTCTGTCTGGGCCTGGCGTCCACAGTAGAAGCCTGGGGTCTGGGGCCTGGGCTGGAGCAGGCCGCCGTGGCAAGGGGCGGAGGAGGCCAGCCGCCACCGAGGCCTTGGGGCAGGTCCCTACCTCTGCCGGACGTCCTTATCTGGGCCACGGGGTCAGCTTTGTCTGGAGAGCCCAGGGGCCGGGCGCCGGCGAGGCTGAGGAAGGTCCAGCAAGAGCAAGAGTCTGAGGCGGAGGAGGAGGCAAGCGCCAGTGCGGGAGCCCTGAGGGCAGACAGACCCGACCAAGGGGCGTGAAGGGCTCAGCCGCAGACAGGCCCGGCCTGACACGGCCGGTGGGCAGGGCAGAGGGCAGGCCCAAGGCTGCCATAGCCCACAGGTGCTGCCATCTCTCCTGGGCAAGGCGGTGGCCTCTTGGCAGCTAGCTGGGGTGGCACAGGCGCCTTGGACCTTGAGTCTCTGATGAGCTGGCCCCCTCCCTCAGGGGCATCGGGCCCCCAGTGCACCTCGCTCGGAGCTCGTGCACCAAGTGATCTAGCGACGGAACTTCTGGGCAACAGTGCCGAGCAGTTTCAAGTCTCAGGCCACAGATGCCAGTGGTCGCCAGGCGGCCACAGGGGGAGGGGACGAATCAGGCCTTGGGAGCTGGGCCTGGCGGGAAGCAGGGTCCATGCACGGCTGAGCAGGTGGTGGCTCCCGAGGGAGGCCAGAGGGCGGCGAGATGGCAGAGATATGGCCCTGCTCTCCTGGCGGCAGCCCCAGAGCGAGGCAGAGAAACAGGGACGGAGGGAAGCTGGTTACCTTTCCACCATGCGGTCTCGCTGCCGCTTTTTCTGCTTATCTTGGCTCTTCTTGTTTGCCAGCAATTTGCGTTTAGCCTGGCTGCTGTCATCCTGCATGGTCAGGGCCCCTGTGGGAAGAGTGGGCCAAATTAGCCAATTGGCTCTGCCAGGACAGGGCAGGACCGGTGGCCTCTGGCTGAATCACCCACTGTCAACTCCAGAGGGTCCATCTGAGAGCAGCTGTCCACGTGAGGCCTCTGGCCATGAGCAGGGCTGGGAGCCCTGGGCTGGGCATTAAGTGGGTTTGTCTTAGGCCCCAGAAGTGGGGGTACACGCATTAACCCCTCCGCTCTTCAGAACACCTTTCCTCTCTGTGGAGTGGGCCACGGGGAGGCTGGAAGGTGAAGAGAGGCTGTGTCGTTGGGGGAGAGACACTGGCATGTGTTGAGAGGGGCCAGGTGGCAGGATGCAGGGAGGCTGCTCACATGGCCCTGCCCACCCCCCACTGGGCACCGCGTTAACAGTGGGCCGAGGCTGGATTTACTGTTAGGTACCTGCTGGCGCTCATCACTCAGGTGGGGGGACATGGACTCCCACAGGGGCTGGAGAGGCGCTAAGGGAGAGGACACGCAAACCAGAGCAGTAAAAACTGCACCAAGGGTCCCAACTCAGACACCAGCCACTGAGGACTAGGAACTGCACATTACTGAGGGACCAAGGGCAGGGAGTGTGCCTGAGTTTCCCCACACTTTCCTTACTGCCGCACCTGAAGGCAAAACCAACATGCTAGGCAGGGGTCATCACCATCCACAGCCGCTGCTGGGGAAGCACAGGGCCAGGGTGGGAAGGGGCAGGGAGGAAGAGCCCCTGACCACTCACACCAGCCTCACAAGCTGGATCCCGCCCACTTGAGGACCTGAAAGAGCCACCCGGCACCTCAGGCCCCCACAAGACTCACCCTTCTCCGAATCTTCCTTGCCTTCTTCTCTCCCATCCTCCTTTCCCTCCTCGTCCTCTCCTTCCTAACACACAATTAAAATCCAATTTTAAAAGGTGTGTAGTTATTTAGAACAGCTCTAAATGGCAAGGGGCAGAACCAGGAGCCTCCCATCCCCTCACCACCTGGCGCATAGGGGATTTGTCCCTCTGTTTTCCCACAAGGAAACCATGTTGCTGGTGGGCTTTTCACCAGACCACACTGGTGCCCTACTGCTAGCCACCTATGCAAAACATGACACAACACCGCCTGTAACTCCTGTGGTGAGGCCTGCTCTTCTTCCCAGCTTGGTCTTCACCGGCCCCACTTGCAAAGAGCAAAATCCAGGCTAGGGGCCACTTACTGCTCTGGAGCCCTTCTCCATAGCCTCAATGCCTTCAGGGCCATCTGCAGCTTCCCCCTCCGTGCCATCATCTGCCAGGGGAAGGTCAGAAGCTCAGCTCAGGAACCCGCCAGGGCAGTGGGCAAAGGGACAAGAGGCAGGGCCCAGGTAACCAGCTCACCGTTGTCTGAATCACTGTTGTCTGAGCAGTCTGTCCTGGTGGCTTTGCTGTCTGGCTCATCAGGACTGCCACTCTGTTTTCTCTTTTTCTTTTTGGTCTGGATCAGAAAGAGGGAGCCAGGTAAGGGGAGGGGGGGTTCTGCCTCGGCTGGGGTCCAGGACAGGCAGGCCGCCTCACTCACCCGGAAGTCAGCTGTGGTCCAGGTCTTCCAGGTCCTCCTCATCTGCTTCATGCCATTGCCAAATCCAAAGCCAAAGCGGGAGCTGCCTGGGAAGGCGCCCCCGCCACGCATGCCCTGGAACATGCCGTACTCAGGGATGATGTTCTGGGAGAAGAGGGAAGGCAGCCGGGAGGCACCAGGCATGCACTGGCCCCGGGCCCCCATGGGGTCTTCCCACATGCGCCCATAGCCCGAGGCCATTGGCCGGCCACTCCGGGCATCCCTGGCCCAGCCCTGAGCCCTGGGACCAAAGGTGTCGCCTCCTCGCATGCGGAACTGGTCACGGTAGGCATCATACTGGCCCTCATAGGCCATTTCCATTTCAGGATCAAGCTCGCCGTAGTCATAGCCTGACCGGTACAGGTCGCGCTCACTCAGGACGGCCCTTGAGTCACAGGCCTCGTAGGAGTCATATCTGCAGGAACATGTGGCAAGCATCAGGCAGAGCCCCTAGAGTCCAGTCAGCCTTTGCCAAGCAGACTGCTCCTGCTCTCCCCTAGCCTCCCAGCCAACACCAGCCCTGCCCTGTCAGGGAGGATCAAAGTTCAGAAATGGCAGTTAAAAGGTTCTGGCCTCTCAGGAACAGAGTTCTAGAAACAGGAAGGGCCTCTCAGCCGATTTTCCCACTGCCCAAACCTGAACACAGACGTAGACTGACATCCTGTGAGAGGCTCTAACCCAGTGAGTCTCTGCATCTCTACAAGGGCAGAAAGGCTGCTTGCTGACCCCTGGAACTGTGCACCTTCTGTGGTAACTGCAACACCCATGTCTGCCAGAACCGAGCATGCCAGCATAATGAGTACTTCTCTATTGAGGCAAATGACACCTATGACAAACACTGCACTGGTCTCATCCCTCAATGCTGCGGGAACCCCTAAACCTTTACCACCCAACAGAAGAGAGACAAAAGTAGGAGCATTTCTTGGGAGACACTGTGAGCTCCAACCCTACATAGCAGCTGAGAAGGAGGCCAGGCTGTGTGTGCATGAAAAGAGCTGAGTTTAACTGTGGCTGTAGCCTACACCTCCAAGGCCAACACCCTGTGTGCCTCAAAGGCCAAAGTCCCTACTTGCACCCTCTGCTCCAAAGTGAGGCACAAGCATTCCTAGACGAGCACCAAACCAGTCAATGACAGGGCCCACAGCAGATGCTCTGCAGTGGAGCAGATCTAGGTGGAAGTCAAGCCCCACCACTTACTCTCTGGGTCCCTTTGGGCAAAGGGTGACCTGCCTGCACCTCAATTTCTCCACTGGCAAAACTAGCACAGCAAGGCCAGGCGTGGTGGCGCACACCTGTAATCCCAGCACTCAGGAGGAGGCTGAGGCAGGAGGATCACTGTGAGTTCGAGACCAGCCTGGGCTACATAGTAAGTTCCAGGTCAGTCTCAACTACAAAAAACTGTCTCAAAAAACCAAAAAACAAACAAACAAAAAACTAGCACAGCAAGGCCAGGCGTGGTGGCGCACACCTGTAATCCCAGCACTCAGGAGGAGGCTGAGGCAGGAGGATCACTGTGAGTTCGAGACCAGCCTGGGCTACATAGTAAGTTCCAGGTCAGTCTCAACTACAAAAAACTGTCTCAAAAAACCAAAAAACAAACAAACAAAAAACTAGCACAGCAGGAGTTCCTCACAGGGATATTTTCAAGAGACACACATTTATAGGGCCTGGAAAGTAGGAAAGGTTCACATCTGCCCTTCTCTTGCATGGGGATGTCCCAGCTCATAGCAGTCAGCCCCAAGGGCTTGTCCCACCCTTCATACCCAACCTGATCTATCCTGCCCTGACTCCATGCAGGTTACGAAGTCCTGACTTAACACCAGAATGGCTGTCCTGAAGGGAGAGGCTGCTGAATCCTCTGCTCCTGAGGAGCCATCCTATGCACACGAAGCCAGCCCAATCTGAGCTTCTCATCCCCTATACGCAGCAAGAAGTGGGCCATGAGGCTGGAGGGAATGGATGACACAGATGAGGAGGGAGCAGAGCATCCCAGAAGCCTGGCAGCACAGAGCCAGGAGGAAGGAAGCAGTCACACCAGCAGTTCAGAGGATGGCACCCTTGTAGAACCCCAGCTGCAGACAGCCCCACTCACCTTTCTCCACCTGAGCCATACATGCCTCCTTGCATCATGTCGGTCTCCAAGTGTGGCACCATATCTAAGCGCTGGTTAATTCTGGATAAAATGGAATCGGCACTGGTGCTACCCGAGGCACTAGGGTTTGCATTTGTGTCAGAGCTAGGCATTTCCCAAGAGTTTGAAGTGGCCATACCATACCCATAGTTGGTGGTGTTATCCTGGCCATAGCCATAGCCATAGCCATAGTTTTCGTAGCCTGCAGTGAGGGAGACAGAGACACAGAGATGGTGGGGGCAGGGAGAAAGGAGGCGGTGGGAGGAAGACACAAACACAAAGAAAGGTGCCCTTTGTCATGGAGAAGAGCTGGAGCCTCTAGCCACCCAAGGCCAAGTGGGCCAAGCCATTCCAATGAGGACCTCCTGTGATGAGCAGCTGAACCCAGGGACACCCAAAGCTCGCCTTGGCCAAGCAGAGCAGTGGCAGAGAAACATAACTGGTTCAATCCCAAGGAAGAGGAGAGTGGTCATGGGAATGATACTTGCCTCTGTTTGTCCCAGAGTTCCAAGTTCCATATCCTACAAAAAGTGAAAGGGCAAATGATATCTACACTTATTTCCAACACAACATGAATTTTATTCAGATGAATTTCTAAGTGAAGACAGTAACTCCCAATACCTGCCTGGCTCTAGCCAACTGAACCTCCACTAACTGATGTGATCATACTGGACAGCACCATGCAACCACACCAGGCTACTTGCTGTCCTGGTGCCCAGCCTTCCATGGCCCTGAGCATCTGCTATTTAAAGAGCCTTATGTTTCCAACACACTTAGCTACTGAACTTGGCTCCTATACTCTTCCCTCAAAGAGCTAGAATTAGAAGATGATCTCCCTGCCCTCAGTGAAGCACTAATGAGAAGATAGAAAATTTAGAGCACCTCACAGACTTGGGCTAGCATGCTTGCTTAGCATGAGCAAAGCCCTGGGTTCCATCCTCAGTGCTACAAATAAATAACAAAGAATGTGCAGTACAAGAAGCCTGGCAAGGTCCCTAACAACACTGAAATCATGTGGCCCCAGTCAGACCATCTGGAGCAGGGAAATAGGCCAAGTCCGCTAAAATGTCTACTTTAACAGAAAGGACCAAAAGCCCCAACTGTGTGAGTGAAATAAACAAGATAACATCAAGGTAAAGTCAAGAAGCAACTCTAAGCTTGAGAAAAGCCACTGAAAGAAAAATTTGGGCTATAAACTAAAAGTGCTCTGGATCTGATCACAATCCATGGTACAAATGTATTCATTCCTTCAGGAGCATAAAACCACTGAGAAGGGGCAAGATACAAAGTCACATGCGAACTTGAGATAAGCAGACACAAATCCTTCCCAGAGCAGTGCATGAGAATAGATGACTACTCTCCCAGTGTCTCTGCTGAGATCCTACAGTTGCCTGGTATTGCAGATCATCTCTGCCCTGCAGATAGAGAAGACACACTCATCCCAGGGCAAGAAGCTTAGCTTTGTGAGAGGGTAGAATGATAAATGGCAGAACACAGACACAGAAGACAAACAGTGAGACTGAGAAGATAAATCAGGGCGGCTCCTGCATCTGGGCTCCTCCACAAACCAATGTACAAAGACAATGGGAAGGTGGTGGAAACCAGCCAAGGCACTCTAGATGAGTGCTACATTTAATGAACTGTAGTCAGAGAGAACTCACAAAGCAAGGTATTCTCAGGCTGGGGACACCAAAACCATCTGTCTATGCAACAGTATCATCCCTGAGTAGAAGCTGCAGCCCCAGACACTGTTCGGGACCCCAGTGCTGCTGGTTGACAAAAGAGATATAAAGAGCCAGCTGCCTGGTGCATGCCTATAATAATTCTAACACTGAGGGAGGCTGAAGCAGGAGGGTAGCAAGTTCAAGTGCCACCTTGTCTCAAAAAATATAAAAGACTACCGGGCATGGTGGCACATGCCTATAATCCCAGCACTTGGGAGGCTGAGGCAGGAGGGTCGCTGTGAGTTCGAGACCAGCCTGGGCTACATAGTGAGTTCCAGGTCAGTCTCAACTACATAGTGAGACCCTGTCTCCAAAAAACCAAAAATAAATAAATAAAGAAATAAAGGAAGGAAGGAAGGAAGGAAGGAAGGAAGGAAGGACGGACGGACTGGGTATGTAGCTCAGCACACAGGCCCTGGGTCCAATCCTCATGTGTGTGTGTGTGTGTGTGTGTGTGTGTGTGTGTGTGTGAGAGAGACACATGGAACAGCAACAAAAAACCAGAAAGCAGTAAGAGATAATCAGGAATTGAAGATCCTGTAAGAAAATAATGGAGGCTGAGGCAGGAGGATCGCTGTGAGTTCGAGACCAGCCTGGGCTACATAGTGAGTTCCAGGCCAGTCTCAACTACGTAGTGAGACGCTCTCAAAAAAAAAATAAAAAAAAAAATAAATAAATAAATAAATAAATAAATAAATGAATGAATGAATAAATAAATAAAGGACTGGATATGTAGCTCAGCACACAGGCCCTGGGTCCAATCCTCATGGGTGTGTGTGTTTGTGAGACACATGGAACAGCAACAAAAAAACAGAAAGCAGTAAGAGATAATCAGGAATTGAAGCTCCTGTAAGAAAATAATGGAGGCTGAGGCAGGAGGAATGCTGTGAGTTTGAGACTAGCCTGGGCTACATAGTGAGTTCCAGGTCAGTCTAAACTACATAGTGAGACCCTGTCTAAAAAAAAAAAAAAAAAAAAAAAAAAAAAAAAAGGGAATTCCCACAAGCAAGAAGAGAGATCCTGGCCACATGGCTAATTGTCTTGCACCAAGAATAATGGATACTATATATTCTTTTGGGACAGAGGACACTGAATATTCTCTTATTGTGTGTAGCGCTGGGAACTGAACCCTGTGCACTCTACCACTGAGCTACACTCCTAGCCCAACACTAGCTACTAGAAAGGTGACAGGACTGAGAAGCAAAGGCAGACCCACTGTGGCTCTGCTTGTTGGGCTGTGGTCTGGTCACTCCAGGTACCAGCCACACAGATCTGCCAGAGCGACAAAGCAGGCATCTACTCTACAACACAACTTTATGCTTCAAGGTCAGGCAGGCAGCCTCCTATGACAGGGCAGCCACCAGGAAACCCCTTTGGGCAAGCACTCATTGCATGCTACTTGCTGTTCCGGAGTGACTCAGACTCCCTTGTACACTTCCCAGCTGGGTCCCTTCAGGAAGAAGCCTGACTCTCTAGGCTGTGGTATATGGGGCCACCTTGAGAGCTTCCTCTTCTCAAAGAATATCCCAAGTCATTTCTGTACTCAGTCATTCACAAAGGGAATTCTAAGGACACTATTTTTTAAAACAAAGAAGAAACAGCTGGGTGTGGTAGTACTACATGCCTGCAATCCCAGCACTTAAGAGGCTGAGGCAGGAGGATAATTGCACTACATAGTGAGTTCAAAGCCAGCCTGCATTACATAGTGAGACACTGTCTCAAAACACCAAAAACCAGGGAATGAAGCTCAGTATCTGCTTGGCAAGTGCAAGGTCCTGAAGTTCAATCTCTGGTGATGGTGGTGACACCAAAAAACCCAAAATCCAACCCCCCCAAAAAAAACCCAAAACCCCAAAAAAGAGGGAGAGAGAAAGACAGCCAGAGAAAGTGATATTTACAAACCAAAACCAGAACAATTTAAATGTTCAAATTTAAGGATTACCACCTACTAGGCCAGGGATTTAGCTCAGTGTTGCCATGCCTGGCACCTGCCTGGCAAGTATAAAATCCTGAGTTCAATCCCTGGTACCAAAAAAATTTTTAAAAAAGGATTACCACCAACCTACTCAAGTGAAATACAGTGTGGACACCAAAGCAAAGTTTATTATGCCTTATCCAGCACAGTGAAGTGTGCCAATATAAGCAAAACAAAATAGGACACACAATACTATCTACCTATAAATTATTCAACTGATTAAAATAAGGTCACAAAGATTAAATACTAAAATCACATGGTACTGGTTGACTGTTTTTCAAAATACTTAAGTTACACTGTTCTTCCAATTTAAGCTAGAAGGAAAACCATCCCTCTTCTTTCACAAAAATGATCCACGTTAAAAAAAAAAAAAAAAATCTTTAATCTGCAAAAGAGCTACAGAGGGCCAGGGATTTAGCTCAGTGTTGCTGCTACCTGCCTCACAAGCACAAGGTCCTGAGTTCAATGCCCTGTACCAAAAAAAAAAAAAAAAAAAAAAAAAGAGCTACTAGAACAAATAAGCTCAACAACACTTCTCAGATGGTCAATATACAAATTAAATTTCAAATAGTACAGTCAATATAGAAATCAAATTTCAACATATTAGCAATGAACAACTATAAAATGACTATGTTTTAGGGGGAGCTGAGGATGGAACCCAGGGCCTCCTGCATGTTAAGCACTTGTTCTATCACTGAGCTATACCCTCAGGCCTACTAAAACTAAAAATTTTAAAAATAGGATTAACCATAGCACTAATAACATGAAATATTTAGCTGTAAATTAACAAAATAAGTATAGAATCTCTACATTAAAAACTATAAAACACTAATTAATCAAGAACTAAATAAATGTAGTATCACACTATAGATCAACAGACTTGGTATTGTTAGGATGTTAGATCTCCAATACTAATCTGTAGATTCAGGGCTTTCTCAAATGTAAAGGCAAAGGAGACAGAATGTCTTAGAGAAAGAATAAACCCAAAGGACTCAAACTGATTCATTTCAAGACTTTCTAGCAATTCATAGTATGGTACTGGAGAAAATTCAGACATACAGATCAACTGAAGAAAATTACAGAGTCCAGAAACACTTCATTTTTCAAAAAAGTTACAAAGGCAATTTCATAGAGAAAAGACAGCCTTTTCGGGCCAGGGATTTAGCTCAATGGCACGATGCCTGCCTCACAATTGCAAGGTTCTGTGTTCAATCCCTGGTAATGCAAAACAATAAAATAAAAAGATAGCCTTTTCAATAAATGATTTTAGAATAATCAGAACTCTATGTCCCCAGCCCCCCCTCCCAAAAACAGAACCTTGACCTGTACTGTACATCTTATGGAAAAACTAACTCAAAATGGATTTCAGACTAAAAGTATAAAATCTAAAACTTAAAACATGTAAAAGAAAATCTTTGTGATGATAGTCTAAGCCCTGAATTCCTAGATACAATACCAAAATCACGATCCATAAAAGAAAAGAATGGTAAGTTGGGCTTCATCAAAATTAAGAACTTATGTTCTTGCTAGGCCTCGTGGCACAGCCCTATAATCCCAGCACTCTGAGATACTGAGGCATGAGGATCCCAAGTTCAAGTCCAACCTGGACAATGCTGCAACTTAGTAATACCATGTCTCAAACTAAACAGTTTAAAAACAGAGCTGGGGATGTAGTTCAGTATAAGGCCCTGGGTTCAATCTCTAGTACTGGGGGCGGGGGGGGGAACACAAATAGTACAGACAAACCCCATCTAGGACAAAATACAAGTAAATGGCACATCTGATTAAAAGGCTTGTACCCAGAATGTAGAGACAAGAATTTAAAAAGATGTGTCAAGAGCCAGAGAGCTAGCTCAGTGGTACAGGGTGCCCAGCACAAATGAGGCCCTGGGTTCCTTCCCCAGCGCTGCAAAACCCAGTAACAAAAAACATGTATCATTTGGGACAACATTTGTTTAGGGGCAGATAGGCACAGCAGGATAGGGAAGCCACTCAAACCAAGTTTCTCCTTATTTATGAAACACTCAGTAATACTCATTTTAAAACATTTTAGGTGTCTCCCTACTGAGACTAGCTGCTAATACTGGGGCAGGGAGGCCCTTAGTAAAGTCTATTTAGTCCTGAGGGAATGGCAACTGTGTAGGCTCAGGCTTTCCCAAGACCTTGATAAAAACACACATTGCCCACTTCAATAATGAAGACACTGTTTATTCCAAGGAGGCTCCTTCTCAGCAGCCACCCCTGGGGTCATGGACCACAGAGACCAGCTTTACAGATAGTTCTGGGCTGCTGCAGCAGGTCAACAGAACATCACCTATGAATCTGGTGAGTGCAACTTCCAAGCGAGAAAATTAAATGCCCATCCACACTTAAGAAATCAGTTGGAAAACTTCATCTCACCGCTGTGTGTATGTGGAGCCTACAGGCTTGGGGTGGTCTGACTGCAAGAGATCCATATATTCACTCGCCCCCATAGTAGGCACGTGTACCACCCTGGGTATGAGTGAACAGCCTGGTTCTCCTGGACCAGTCCTTTAGACTGACTGGCTATTCTCCTTTCAAGCCTTGTAAGAGGGATGTTCTTCAGCCAGCTCTTTTGTCCAAGACCATATGTACTTCTATAAAATGTTAAGGGGCCAAAGGAACCAAATCACTTACCCAGCCTAGCTTGCTCAGCAACACAGATATTATTACCACAATTGTCCCAAAGGAAAGCACTAGCTATTAAAATGGCCAACCGTCCCACCTGACACAGTTTGGGTCTAGTAAAGCAAGACAGATGACAGCAAAGCCAAAGGCAACCAAGAAGACACAGGACTGCTCCGCCAATAGAAAACACAACACTGGTTCCCACCAGGGGCCCCACACTTACCATAATCACAGGTGGGCTGAGCACTGGTGTCCGAATATGTTGACTGCAAAGTGGTTTCAGACCCCTGGACAAAGCCTAAACATATGCACAGGGTGGTTAATTTCCACAAACAAGCCACTGGGAAATGACTAAAACTGTCCCTTTGGAAACACTGGTTGGTGGGGCCTCCTCTTGGTTGGAAAACCACCAAAACCTCTTGATTCGAAACTTTAATTAGACCTCCAGATCATATTAACCATTGAAAAGGCAGGCTATGATTGACTTGTTATCCCAAAAGGATTAGATTAAAAACTTCTAAACATTTAAACCAGTAAACCATCTTGATAAATGACATCAAAATTATCATTCAACTTAGTAAGGAGGACCAGTGATTTAGCTCAGTGGTTTCGGTGCCTGCCTCATAAGCACAAGGACCTGAGTTCAATCTCTGGTATCAAAACAAAACAAAAAACAACTTAATAAGGAAAATACTTTTATCAAATCACTGAAAGGTGAGCTACTTACAATTTAACCAAGGATGGGGGATAATTTTCAATTGATGTTAAAGCAATATACCCTCTACCCCCTGTTCCAATCTGAAACAGAAACTGCCATCTGTCATACACACACACCCATCCCTGGCCCTTATCTTTTATTTCTTTCACTTAAAAATGCGTATTACTGGGGCTGGGGATTTAGCTCAGTGGTTCCACACCTACTTCGCAAGCGCAAGGTCCCAAGTTCGATCCCCAATACCCAAAAAGGGAAAAAAAAATGTGTATTACTACAAGAGACCAGCTTGAAACTGTGCTGAGCAGGCTATAAAATACTATTGAATGGGTGTATTAATTAGCCATTGATTAAATTGTGACTCTGTCCTAGGCCTACGTGACTTGCTTGATGAGCCTTTGGCTGGCAATGAGGAAACAGAACTCCATACGTATGCCAGTGGTCATAGTTGAAGCCTCGCCTCAATGGTCAGTGACACCGTGGTGTCTCTAACAGCAAGATAACACTGCATCTGAGGACTTCATGACTCTTATGCAGCCATTGTCCTAGAACAAACATGAGCTAAGAAAACAAACAGGTTACTTGGTTATCACAACTTGTCTTTTACAGGAATGCATCGTCCTCCTTTTACACACCAGCACCCTACTGTTCCCTGCATTTGCCTTTCTGCCCCCTGCAATGTTGTGTATCAATAAATAGTAGCAAGTCCAGAGCCTCCAAATCTTAGCCTAACAGGAGCTCTGAGTGTCCCAAACCCCATTATACAGTCAAACCTTTGTATTGTCTTATTCTTATCCTAGCTGTATCCACCATGCAGCCCCTGATATATTATTTTTTATTTTGTTGCAATTGGGATAAAACCCAGGACCTTGTACATACTAAACAGTGCTACCTCTGACCAGCATCTTCAGGGCCATCTTATAGTTTGTTATGCTTTCTTTCTTTTTTTTTTTTTTTTTTAAGACAGGGTCTCACTATGTAGTTCAGGTTGGTCTTGGACTCAGTTTGTAGCCCAAGCTGGCCTCAAACTCATGGTGATCCTCCTCTTGTCTCAGCCTCCGAAGTGCTAGGAAGACAGGCATGCATCACAACGTCCAGCTCACACCTATTATTTCTTAAATGTAATTATTTGGCATTTGGCATATTTACAAAGAAACAATAAGCTTTATACCATATACAGGCTGATATCTCTAATCCAAACTCTAAAACTTTTTGCGAGATGCCACCATACCACAAGTAAAAATTCTACACCTACGTGGGTGGTGGCTCACAGTCAAAATGAAGGTGCACTAAATATCCTCAATAGAAGTACCTTCAGGTTACATGCAGAAGGTGCATACGAAAAGGGTGAATTTCATGTATAGATTTTGAACCTCCAAAAAAACCCAAAATCCTGTAATCTGAAACTCTCCTGGTCCCAAGGATTTGGATAGGGGATACTCTACCTGTAATAGTATAAGTTACTATCTATCTAAACTCTCAACCCTGGCATGGTGGTGCACGCCTGTAATCCCAGTACTTAGGAGGCTGAGGCAGAAAGTTTGACACAAGTCTGAGGCCAGCCTTAACTACATACTGGGACCCTATCTCAAAAACAACAAAAAAAAATTTTTTAATTAAAAATAACCTCTCAAATTGCGTTTCCACTGAAAACGAGTTAATGCCAAAGAAGGAAAGCTTGAAAAATCTATTAGAAACCACTGCTCTTAAAAGACAGAGCCAGGGTTTTAGCTCAGTGGTTCCACTGCCTGCCTTGCAAGCACAACTTCCCAAGTTAGATCCCTGGTATAAAAAAAAAAAAAAAAATCAGACCAAAAACTGATGACAAGGGGCCAGGGATTTAGCTCAGTGGTTGTGCCACCTGCCCTGCAAGTGCAAGGTCCTGAGTTCAATCCCCAGTAGAAAAAACAAACAAACAAACAAACAAACAACAAATTGATGACAAGCAGCTACATGGTGTTGCACACCTGCTATCCCAGCACTCAAGAGGCTGAAGCAGGAGGATCACTGCAAATCTGAGGCCAGCCTAGGCTACAAAGTGTGTACAAGGCCAGCTTAGATTCACATAGTGAGACCTTGTCTCAAAATAAATAAAGACTGATACAGTGGACTATAATCCTGATACTTTAAGACTATATTTTAAGATGGGCAAAGCTGGGCATGGTGAACATGCCTGTCATCCTAGCACTCAGGAGGCTGAGGTAGGAGTACCCTGAGTTGTGAAGCTAGCCTAGGCTACACAGTGATTTCAAGGATAGCCTAACTACATAGTAAGAGACTGTCTCAAAAACAAAAACAAAAACAAAGCCAGGCGTGGTAGCGCATGCCCGTAAACCCAGCACTTGGTAAACTGAGGCAGGATGATTGCTCTGAATTTGAGACCAGCCTGGGCTATATAGTGAGTTCCAGGGCAGTCTCAACCCTGTCTCAAAAAACCAAAATAACAAAACAAAACAAAAACAAAAAAGATGGGCATGGTGCTGCCTGTAATCCCAGCTACCCAAGAGCCTCCGGCAGGAGTAGCACAAATTTAAAGCCTGTCTGGGCAATATGGCAAGACCATTTCAAAGGGGCGGGGGATGACCATATTTAGCTCAGTGCTCCCCTGGGTAATAATCCCCAGAATTAAAAATAAATTGTATTTATTTTTATTGGAATGTTTTCAATACATAATGATTACATTTATCGTGTGTTCTTTCCCCCTTCCCTCCATCTTGATTCCTATCCCATTTGCAAAAAAAAAAACTGCTTCCATTTCCTATGACAGTATTTATCCTTTATTTTGCTCATTATTTATTTCACTCATATAAGAGAAACCATGTAATATTTAAATTTGTGCATCTGATTTATTTTACTTAACATTATGGTCTCATGATGTATCCATTGTTTTTTTGTTTGTTTTTTTTTTGAGACAGGGTCTCACTATGTAGTTAAGACTGAACTGGAACTCACTATGTAGCCCAGGTTGGTCTCAAACTCACAGCGATCCTCCTGCTTCAGCCTCCCGAGTGCTAGGATTATAGGTGTGTGCCACAAAACCCAGCTGCATCCATTTTCTTACAAATGACTCAAATTTATCCTTCTTTATGGCAAGAGTACTATTCCATCCACTATGTACAAATATTGCATTTGTTTTTACTCATTTGTTGATAACATGTACCTTGCTTCCAAGATTTAGCTATTTTTGTGCTGCTATAAACATGGGTATGCATGTAGCACTGTAATATGATGCCTTTTACTCTTTCAGGGCAATATGTGGGTTGAATGGAATTTCTACTATTTGTTTTGTTGCTGTTGTTGCTTTTTGAAGCAGGGTCTTCCTCTGTAGTTCAGGCTGGTGCTGAACTCACTATGTAGCTCAGGCTGGCCTCAAACTTGTGGTGGTACTCTTGCCTCAGCCTCCCAAGTGCTGGGATTACAGGCGTGCTGCCCGACACGAGACTCTAGTTATTTGAGGAAACTTCGTATTGATTTCCATAGTGGTTGTACTAGTTTACATTCCTACCAACAATGTAGAAGGGCTCCTTTTCCCCCACAGCCTCGTCAGCATTTGTTATTACTTGATTTCTTGAAGACAGTCATTCTCTCTGGAGTTAAGAGAATTTCAGTGCTTTTAATTTGCATTTCTCCAATGGCCAGCATTATTGAATGTTTTTTCATATATTTATAGGTCATTTGTATTTAAGTGTCTATTTGTTTCAGTTGCCCATTTTTGGATTGAATCTTTTATTTTGGGGGAAGTCTGATTTTTTTAGTTATTTATATATTCTAGGTATTAGTACCCTGTCAGGAAGTATTCAACTCAGGAAGATTTGCCTGCATCAGCCTTCCAAGTGCACGACTTTAGATGTGCACTACCTCACCCAGCTAAATAATGATCATTTGACTTCTTCCTTTGTTATTCATATCCCTTTTATTTCCTTTCCTTGCCTAATTGCCAAAACTATAAAGTATATTTTAAGTGATTAAGCCTTGGACCCTGAAATTGACAGTGGTATTATGTCTCTTCTCATTACAGATAACTCAAATGTGAAAGAAAATTAAAGCCAGTACCTCCATTAGCTTATTTACTGCAAAAAACAAAACAAAACTGCATATCAGGTACCTTCTACTTGGGCAGGAATTCCCATGTCTGTTGACAGGATCTCTGCTTTATTCCTTAAAACCACAACAACAAAGATGACAGCAACAGCCAACAACAATGAACAGGGGCTTCTCCCACCTGGTGCTAATCTCAGTTGATCTTTACCTAAATTAACAGAGGGGAATTGGACAAGATCCCTTACCCTGAGAGTCTAAAGGTCTATAAAGGTCTGAAACTCCATAAATAGGGTGCCAATACTCATGCTGGGGCTAAGCGGGCCTGGGAGGACATTTATAATCTTTATCCTACCTGGTGCAGAGTCATTATGGTTTTTGCTAGTTTTGTGGTGTGGGGATGAACCCAGAGCTTCAGCATGCTAAGCCTGGCTCTGTCACTGAGCCACTCCCTACCTCCTACTGTGTTTACTTATAAGGTACTTCCTGGACCCCAGTGGGGCTACTGTGGAACCAACGTCATCTTTACTTCCTCACTGAGGGGAATG